CTTGGCTGTCATCATCAACCTCAACTACAATTCCTAACAAGCAGGCAGAAGAAATCTGTAATCATATTTCATACTCTGTGGTTTTAAGTATAGCTTGTGCAGCTTTCTCTCCGTTTCCTTTCAACCATGCGCGAGTCGCACGAGGATCCGCTCGTAGGTTTTTTTATTTATTAGCTTTTAACTCTTAACATTATCAACTTAGTTGACGAAACCAAGTTATCTAGTTACACTCCCCCGCCGATACAACATCGCATATTCTTTAAAAACCTACCCCCTTTAATCACTGATTTTTTTTTTTTTTAGCTCGCTTTCTCTTCATGCGACCCAGCGCTCCACTCACGCTTTTTTCCGCGAGGATAAAAGAAGACGCAAAGGACTGTAGTACATATACCAAGAGCTAACCGCCTCCCGGTTAGCTCAATGGATAGAACGCTGGACTTTTGTGCGGGAGGTCGAGGGTTCGAGCCCCGGCCAGACCAACACTCAGGGTCTTAAAATAATTGAGAAGAATATGCTACCTTTCTATAACATCAAGAAATGATTAGATATTCTAGTCTTCTCGGACAGGGACGAATAAATGGAGGTCCCGTCTCCTGCAAGGTTAGGGGCAGGAGACGTTAATTTCGCACGCACAAGATTACTGTGTGATGGATGTCCTCCCCTGGGGTGGGATGGGTGGGTAACTGGACCCCCGTGGATACCAGTGTTTACTACACTGAAGGGGCTATCCTGTATAAATATAGATGTCTACTTCTACTTCTATCATGTTTGCGAAATTCAATGGAGCGTCGAGTACCTTCATCCTCCTCTTTGTTTTCAAACTGAATAGCTGAATCAATAAAACTCCACTGATATTTGACATCCATTGGACTGTGATTAGTGACTTTCACAACTTGTGTCACTTCTGTGTCATTCAGTATACATCCAAAGTCAACCTACGGAGGTAAATCAGCATTACCTTCCATTGACTAAATGTATAGATATTTATAGTATAAATAGTCAGTATAGAAATATATTGACCGCCTCCTGGTTAGCTCAATTGGTTAGAGCGCCGGATTGTGTTGTGCGGGAGGTCGAGGCTTCGAGCCCCGGCCGGACCAATACTCATGGTCTTGAAATAACTGAGGAGAATTTGCTACCCTTCTATAACATGAAATGGATAGATATTCTAGTCTTCACGGATAAGGACGAATAAATGGAGGTCCCGTCTCCTGCAGGGTTAGGGGTAGGAGACGTTAATTTCCCACGCACGAGATTACTGTGTGGTGGATGTCCTCCCCTGGGGTGGGATGGGTGGGAATTGGCCCTGAAAAGCCCCCATGGGGAGTGATCAACTAACGTATGTATGTAAGGAACACAGTCCTTTTCAGGCTTACTTATAGAGACTGTCACAGCACTTTCTGAGTAACTTGTCTTAAATTCACAGGCAAACCAGCAGACACTGATAATTTAACATTTTCTCAATAATTGGTTGATTTATAAGTCATTAATCCTTATGATAATTTTTTTTAACTTAAAAAAGCATATTTTGCTTTTGTTGTGTTAGATTGTATAATAAATAAGTTATAAATTTGTCATTTGCAATTTAAAAAAAAAAAAAAAAAAACATTTATGTCATACTTAATTCCTCATCAGGTGATTCTCAGCCTTACAAGATGTTTGACCGCCATTCAAGTCTTGCTGGATGTCAGATAATTAACTACAGAACAAACAGTGATGCCACATGGCTACTTCTAATTGGAATTTCAGCACAGGTACAAACCACTAAGCAAAGTGCATATCAGTAATTTTGTTATCACTTCCAATGGCACTGTCTCTGGGCTTTTGTGTCGGTTGGCATCGGAGGCAGATAGATTTACAGTGCTATTTCCTTGATATGAAGTAAATGGAAAATTGTTTTGTTCTTTTCAACAAATTTCAACAAAATGTTTTTTTTAGTAAAGTAGCTGTAGAAAATCTACAATACAATGCTGAGAGGTAAATTTTACACTTTCCACTTCCTACAACTTTCCAGTAAAAGATTAAATTTTTTTTCTTGGCAAACATCTGGAGTGCACTTTGTTAATAATAATAATAATAATAATAATAATAATAATAATAATAATAATAATAATAATAATAATAAAACAAAACAAAACAACCAACAAGTAAACGGCCTTTTTAAAGTGAATCACATGCAGCCTCTTATGGTATGAAATCATTCTTATTTAGAAATGGTGTTTTCTTTTTTGCTGTCGTTGAAATTTAACCGGAGTCTACAGCAC